AATAATAATATGAGCTATAATAAGTATGACATGAATTGCTTGATAAAAGGAGTAACTCAGCGGCTTCACTTTACTAGAAAATTATTTAAAATGTAAAAATATCTATATATTAATATTGTTTTTATATTAATATTATATTTAATAATTTTTGATAAAAATTGTATATCATTATTTTATTATTTTAAATGTATTACCTATATACATTTCTGTTTTGGTTAAAAAGGGAATCGACTTATTTTAAATTTGATCGAAAAGTGAATCGGCCGAAAAGGGAAGGGTACGATTTTGGTCAAAAACAGACTCACCCCTAATTATAAGCTAAAAGCGAGAGTTATGATAAATTCAATAAACCGGACGTTCAAATACGCTAATTATAGTTCGGATAATAGAGGGTTCGTATAACRAAGATTCGGGTAATCAAGGTTCTACTGTACTTACTTTTAATTCAAGTTTTACGTATTATATTATGTTTATAAAATGTTATCTACTTATTTAATTTTTTATTGTTTTTTCAGGCGCCTAAATTGTTGTGGATAACAATTATTCATGTTTTATTGTGGAGCTTTACATTTTCTCTATCTGAGAGTATTGAATTAAATGAAGATGGTGGATTATTACTAAATAGACTACGCGATCGAGTACGGTACACGACACATATTTGTGATCGTTTGAAAAATTCACCGCCGGTGGTTAATCATAATAACTATGAATCTTTGTCTAATTCAGATAGAGATGATAGTTCTGAAAATGCTGGCTTAACTAAGGATTTGAGTGAATCATCAAATCCCGTAAAAAGACATGCTATCTTACGATGCTATAATCGTCCAGCACAGGAAAATAACGAATCTAACAAACCAGATTTAATAACAAGTGAGTGGCAAATGAAATCTACTCCTGTAGACAACGCGTATGGTAATTTATATGACCATCCAACGGTTGCAGGTCTACAAAAAATTGACATTAATTCACACAAAGTGATTGATCAAGAACCGTTWTATCATACAGTACCACTTTTACAGAAAGGAAATCTTACTGAAAAAAAACCAAAACACTCAGTACTTCAGTTAAATTTACAAGATATGACCAAGAAAATCAAATCATTAATTTCTACACCACAACATAAGTTAGGTGAAATAATATCAGATAAATTAGTCGATGAAAGTCTATATAACAAATTAGCTCAGCCGTCACTGACTCACTCATTACCTCCCAAATTTACTAAGTATCCTGTAGTTAAGCCAGAAAGCGACAAACAGAGTAACCCGTTAAAACTGTCTCCAATTTTACCACAGATACCGAATAGCAATTTTTATGAGAAAGATTTTATAATTGAAAACAAACCATTCTTGTCCCTTCCATCAATTCAGGTTAACAAGCCGAAACCTGYAGACATATTGTATGACAGACATGTACCACCTATGGCGTATCGGCCAACACTTCCTCCATTAAAACATACTCCTGTCATCAAACCGACACATCCACTGAGTTTCGTACAAAAAGAATTTCCGATACCTACAACCAATGAACGGCCACAGGGTAATATTGGTTTGACATCCCAATATCCTAAAATAATCAAGAACGGCATTGCTGAACCAACGTCTCAACCAATCCTAATTGAAAAAAACGATTCAATATATTTTCCACATAAAAAACTAAAGGAATCGATTGATTTGTCACCACCTACACAATTTATAAAGACTTCTGATACGGAAATGATAAATAAACCGATTACAATTTTTGAAAAAAAAGTATCAATATATTTGCCATATAAAAAACAACAGGATTTAATTGATTTATCACCACCTAAACAATTTATMAAAACTCCTGATRTAAAAACGGTACATAAACCGATTATAATCGAAAAAGAAGTTTCAACATCAGTACCAAAAGAACAAGAACAACCAATAAATTATTTKCCATTACAAGTTCCACAAGTTATACAGATTCCTGACAAAGAATCAATTTATCAGGAAACTTCAGGCCAAACAATAGCATCAACAAATGTACCATATGAACAATCAACAATTACTTATGAGCCTTTGAATAGTGGATCCACATCTCAGATAATACCAAGTGAAAATGAAGTTTCAATATCTAGTACGTATGGACAACAACAGCCAATAGTATATTTTTCGACACCTCCACAACTTCAACAAATTAAAATGCAAAACGAAATATCAACACCTTTACCATATAAACAACAAACAGTYGTTGAACCTCTAAAAATAGTCAAACCTTTTAACACTGAATTATTATCTAAAAAAAAAAATTCATTATATGATCAACAACAACCAATAACTTTGCCATCACCTCCTCCACTAACCAAGACGACTACTTCAGCTTATGACTATTAATTTATAATCAAATATTTACTATTGATTTATCACAA